AAAAAAGAAAGAGGAGGGGAAATGGGGAGAAGGACCACCATTAGAAACAGCAACATAACATGATCCGAAGAAAATACAACTTTTTTTTTTTAAGAGACACAGACTTGCTCTGTTGCCCAAGCTGGAGCGCAGTGGCGCCATCATAGCTCACTGTAGCCTCGAACTCCTGGCCTCAAGCCATCCTTCCGCCACCTCAGTCCCCCAGGCTGGGACTACAGGCGTGCACCACCACACCCAACATCCCGCTAATGAAAGAGCAATTCGTGATATGACTTGAAGCAAACCCTCAGGTTAGACGCCTCGTGGTGCCCACATTTCTCTTCTGGGTAAAGTCAGAGACTGAATCACACTCACCTGAAGAGTCAGGTCTGACTCCACTTTGCCTCCCAGGGAGGCTAAGCCCAGCCCATAGGAGGCTACATGCCAAGTTCGTTTAGACACCAGTCCTGGGGTGACGGCATCTTTATTATCCCTCCTGACTCGAGAAGGGTGCCATGGTAACTAAATGCCAGTGGGGGGAGCCCCAAAGCCCCCAATTCCCTCTCAAATCTCTTTTTCTCAAGACTCTTCTCTTTAAGCCTTGGGCTTTAAAAGTCTAAGCTCACTGGAACTCTTTTGAGCGCCTTTCATTCTTTCCCTTGGGAAAAGAAGGCTTGGAAGAACCATCTTTATTTGTGTTCACAGGAGACAGATGTCTTAATTGAGTCACTGAGATTTAGCACTCAGTTCCACAAGCATAACAAATCAAAGCTCACCAAGAAGAGAATGAGAAGGATTTCTGAATACACATGCGCTCTTTTCTCAGAGGAAACAATTTGAGGGAACTAATTATTAGGAGGAAGACAGCGTGCGATTAAAAACACACAGTCTCCTTTTTTTGATGCAAACAGAAACAGGGAGCAGGCAATGAAGCATTTGATCGGAGGACTGGATTGGACTGTGCCTGGTTTATCAAAATCCAGCCTCATCCCCCTCCCATCCTGTCCACCACTACTCGCGAGTCAGTCCTAGAGACGAATCATCAGACTCATGGCCTCAGCCTGAAGCTCTGGTCACAGGTTCAGAGGTTCATGTCTCATTCCCTCTCCCGTCAACCCTGCTCCTCCTTGGGTCTCAGTGGGGCAGAGGGTCAGGAAATGGAGTGGCTCTCCAGACTGATCCTCACTTCGATGAGAGTCCTTGGCCCACCGTGGCTCAACTCGGAATCAGACTGGGAAATGAGGGAAGTTCATTTTCCTAGATGTTTTGTACTGGTCCCTATTTTCAAGATGTCCCAATACCAGAGGAAAGCCAGACCCTCCTCCAAATTGCACACATGAGGTATATTAGAATTCGGTCAATAGCTAGTAAGCCGGGCTCGGTGGCTCAGCCTGTCGTCCCGCGCCTTTAGGAGGCTGAGGTGAGTGGATTGCCTGAACCCGCGGGTTTGAGACTCGCCTGGGCAGCGAGACCTCATCTCTACAATAAATCAAAAAATTAGCCGGGCGTGGTAGCGTGCGCCTGTAGTTCCAGCTACTCGGAAGGCTGAGGCGGAAGGATCGCCGGAGCCCAGCAGGTGGAGGCTGCGGTGGCCGGGAGCGGCCACTGCACTCCCGTCTGGGCGACAGTGAGACTCCAACTCAAAAAAATAAAAAAAATTAAAAAAAAGCTAGTAAATGGGTTATGACCAAAAACGGGTAAGGTGCAAGGCTCTGGGCCTATTTAGGGGATGTATTTTATTTTATTTTTATTCCTTTTGAGTCAGAGTCTCACTCTGTTGCCCAGGCTGGAGTGCAGGGGCATGATCACAGCCACTGCAGCCTTGACCTGCTGGGCTCAAACGATCCTTTCACCTCAGCCTTCCAAGTAGTCACAGGCATGTGACACCAGGCCTGGTTAATTTTTTTTTTAATTGTAAAGACAAGGTCTTGCCAGGTTGCCCAGGCTGGTCTCAAACCCCTGGTCTCAGGTAATCCTCTCGCCTCAGCCCCCCAAAGTGCTGGGATTACAGGCATGAGCCACTGCACCTGGCTTTGTTATTTATTTTATTTTTATATTTGTGGAGTACAGGTGGCATGGGTAAGGAAGGATGGATATGTGAAAAACAAAAGTGTGTATGAGTCCAGATTAGAATATCAACCCTGAAACAGTAAGTAACTCATCCCTTAAACTCAGTTTTCAAGGAATAAGATGAATGGAGAAACAGCTGTATGAGCATCCTCGGTTAACTTGATGCCTGTCCCTTCCACAGGGTACCCATGATGGTGTCAGTGAAATGGGGCTGTAAGCACCAGCCAAAACGCCAAAACGAACTGCTGCTCTCCAGTCATCAGCAACAGCAAAAGCCTTCAGATGGACTCACTTGGTTTCGATGAATTCAGACTGGAGGTCGGGGCATGTTTACAGACTAAACGATGCCCTCTAGAAACAAAACACTTGGACCAGCATGCACCAAAGTAGACTGCTGGGTAAGCTGATAATGGCCATAGGGAGGTAAGCAAAAGGCCGTTTGATTTGGGGGCAGATTTACTTTTGCTTTGAGCTCAAATGTCCCACATGTGATTTCTTCTTTTCCAAAGATAGAAATCAGTTTCAATGAGTTTTTAACTCAATTCGGTCACAGCCATATATGGTGCCACGGCTCAGGCATGAGCCCTCCCAGGGCTCTGACCCTGTGGGGAAGACACTTCCCGAGAACATCCACTGTACACCCAGAGCCAAAGCTCTTCTGGTCCTGGAGCTCCTATTAGTCGCAAAGAACAAGTGGGTGAGGGGCCTTTACAAACTAAAAGGGACTACTTTTTGTTTTATCACAAACACTGTAGGAACCACACAGGGGGTCTGTACTCTGCCCAGCTGGCTACTAATGAAATATCATTTATCCTTTTTAGAAAATAAGTCAGTGAAAAAATGAGGCTTCTCAAAAAATCTGGTAGGTTTCTGGTTTATACAGTTCTAGAAACTACCAATTCCCACCTCCACTGGGGACCATCAAGATAACGATGACGTCAGAGAGAAGAAAGCTCTGGTTTCCTGTGACTGGGGGTGGAGAAGGCAGGGCAGCAGATCCAGGCCAGCAGGACACAGGATTTCCACCTGGCCCCTGGGTCTCCTAGACCCCAACTCAGTCCTTGTAAGGCGACGTCAGGCCTGCAGGTGTCTGAGAGCCTTCTACAGCAGAAACCAAGTAAGGTGGTCACCAGACCACCTCGGTTTTGTCTAAGCCGCTGCAACTTATAGCTCTGTCAGGGGCTATGCAGACAAGAAGTCATGCTTCCATTCAGAAAACACATAAGAGGCAACACGTGACACCTGAAGTTTTTTGAAATTCAAATGACCAATTTTACACTGAATATGCACAATAATGCCTCTATGTCAGCACTTTGTCAAGATCCCTTTAAGAAGCTGCAGCAAAAAGAAAATTCTTGGATAGTAGTGACAGATAAGAAAACACACTCTTTGTAAAAGATGTTGCAGGATGCTCACCTTGTTACGAGGCTCACACTCATAGGCCCCACGAGGGCAATGTTTAAGTGATCTGAACACAACAGAGATGCTGAATAAAGCTGTGTTAAATAAATGTATCTATGGGAACTTTTATGTATTTCGCATGCTCTTAAAATTATCTTTTTAAAAGAGCTGCTTGAGAAGCCAAAAGGAATAACTGAGTTACCCTTTGGTGTAAGGCACTGATCGTGGAAGAAGATGTGCGTCCACATCTGCTTTGAATTAACCAGCACTGTTCCTTATCTACACAGAGCTCACCGTATCCATCCTGACATGGCTGAGAAGGAAGGGTGCCACCCACAGGCAGCCAGTTTACACACACTGGGAGAGACATTAGGGGGAAACGATGGCATGTCATTTACCTCCCCAATCCCTGTGTCTAATGAGGCCTGCAGGACGCCAGGCACAGTCACAGCTCCTGGTTCTAACCAGTGGCCCTGGATGCATGGACTGAACTCAGGGAGGGCAGTCATGATGGGTGGCAGAAAGCTTTCATGGTGCTGCTGGGCACATGAGGGAGACAGTTAAGCAAGCAACTCCCAGCCAGGAGACAGGAGTCTACAGAGAGGGAGGAAGACATCTCTGGTTCAGTTTCATTTCAGCAGCCAGTGCAATGTCATGTTCTCAGAAGCAGGAGCCAGAGGATCCCTGGAGAAGAGGGGTGGGAACAAGGAAGGACCTGTGGAGTTTCTGGACTCATGGAAGGAAGGCACAAGGTAGCAGACCACACGAGGAAGGCATTTCTGCAAGCGTTTGTGAACAGCACAGCTTCCTCTACAAGAAAAGACTGCTAAAAGATGTGGTTCCTCCATGTAAAAACATTCTTCTCAGATCACCTGAATTAAAACGGGGTCTATTCCTTTCATCAAACAGCAAAGTAGCAACAGGGAGGGGAAGGAAGAAAGATCAGGAAAACCACCTAGGGAGAAAGACTTAAGCAAAATTAGTTTTACTACAACTTTTCCAGCGTCGGGATTTTCTTGGACCGGGTGGAGCTGGGCTGTTTAAGCCACCCGGTGCTGCCATTTTTTACTTCCATCTGCCTCTTTCTGGGCTGCTGGAGTTGGCTGCAGCTACCTGTTCTTAATCCATGTGGATACAATTGCTGGAGTTCTTACAGACCCAACTCCAGAAAATCACTGGGATCAACACACGATGCACTCTTCTCGCAAATATTATAAAGTTTTCTGTTTTGTTTTGTTTTTAAAAAAACAGATCAGGCCTTTTCCCCTACTTGTTCAAGGCTAAATGGATTCCCTCTTTCAGAACATTTCCATCTCAAACCTGGAAAACATCAACCCGACCTGATCCCATGCCTCTGCTCGCTCCCCTGCCCTTGACCTCAACTCTTCCCCTAATTCTGGTTCTTGTAGAGCTTTGACCAGAGTTGCCCAAAAGCTTGAACCCTATTCCATAAGCCAGCCGGACTAGCAGAAAGTCACAAGTCTAAGCTCAAGGACTCAAAAACAGGTACCCCTCACCAGTCCCCACCTTGCCCGCGGGCACCCGCCTACCTGGGGCTTGTCGGAAGGAAGGTTGGGATGTACACTTCGGTAGCCCTTGGCAGCGAGCGAAGAGGGCTGGGCATTCCCATTGGCATCAGCACTGGAAGAAAGTCTCCACTCATCTGAGAAACAGGGGGAAAAATACCCTCTCACTCACAGGGAACACACCCTGGTTCCCCTCTATCTGGGGGTCCCTGGTGGAAGGCGGGGCCGGTAAGAATGCAAGAGAAACCGTACCTGTGGAGGAAGTCTCTGGCTCCAGACCTACGCGTGGTGTAGGAAGGACGAAAACAAGAAGAAAAACAGAAATGGTTACATTTGCAGGAAACAAGCATGAACTGCAAAGAAGGATGAAAATCCAGCACCCCGTTGTCTGACACAGAATGCCCTCAGTCACGATGGCCTGATTACCATAGGAACCCACTCTAAACCATGATGTGCTCACAGGCGCTGACCTTTGAAAACACAAGGCTCACATTCACAGGAATGAAGAAACAATTGTTACTTGACATTCTTATTTTACAGACAAAAAGGCAACAGAACTCTGCTGTCCGGTCTCCACTCGCTAACTCTCCTTCCCCTTCTTCGAGCCTGCTGTGGGACCAGGGACCGCACCTCATTAGCAGGCTGGGCTAACTAACAGGCCCGGGAGACAGAGAAGCGGATAGACGCTTTTTCCAGGGTTAGGGGTAGAGCATGACTCAAGCCCAGAGCTATCTGCTGTGATAAGGACTTTTCTTTCCTCCCTGTCTGCTTTTCTTCTTTCCATTAAATGAACCGCATAAACATTTCAAAATCGAATCACCCTTCCTGAGAGTCCATCACATTCCAAAGCACCCTAGTGCCCTGTCAGCCTTCCCGGTCATTGCCCAATGTACTTCAGAGACCCCCCCAAACCTCTCCTCATTTGACCCACGTCCCACCACGAGGTCGTGGAGCACAGTGGTTACAAGGTCGGCTGGGAGGGCAGCTGGGCCTCGACTCAAATCCTGACTCCACCACCTACGTGGAGTCTGTGATGCTGGGCAAGTTATAAGCCTCAGTTTTCTTGTCTGAAAACTGGGGATAATGATAGGCCTGCTTCCTAAGTGTTGTTATAAGACTTAAATGATGCAGTGCAGGCAAGACTGTCTACTGAGCACAGAGCCTGGTAAAGCACTGGACATGCTTTCTTTCTTTATCTTCTGCATTATCTCTTGTCTCTACTCTCTGTCCCCCACCTAGGCCCAGGACGGGCAAATTTTTTCTATAAAGGGCCAGATAGTAAATATTTTAGGTTTTATGGGCCATACGGTCTCAGTCGCAACTATTCAACTCCGTCACCCTAGCACAAAAGCAACCGCAGATGACATGTACACGAACGAGCACGGCCGAGTTCCAATAAACCTTTATTTATGGACACTAAAATTCGAATTTCATGTCATTTTCACGTGGCAGACAATATCATTCTTCTTTTGATTTTTTTTTCAACCACTTAAAAATGTGAAAGCCATTCTTAGCTCAAGGGCTGTACAAAGACAGGCGTGGACCAGACTCTGCTCAGGGTCAAGGTTCGCCAAGCCCCAATCCAGTCAGGCCTCTATTCCTCCTTCTGCCTGATGCTTCCTCTCGCCTCTCCGTGTCGAGATTAAGAGGACTAACACTGCAACTCTCACAGCCAAGCCTCCATGTCCCTCTGGGTCCCTCAGGGGCCAGAGGTGGGCTTTCCAGATGTCCAGCTCAGATTGACAGACATTTATCAGACACCTTCCCAAGTGCCAGACACTGTAAGTCACTTTTGCATCTACTTAGTACTTTGTTTAATGTACCCAACAACTCTGTGAGGTAGAAAACCACTCTACTTCATGGAGGAGGGAACAGAGAGGTCAACTGGCTCACCCAGAGTCACACAGTCAGGAAGTGACAAAGCAGTCAGCCTCGGTCTCCAGGATCCAAGGGCAGTCCCCTACCTACCACCCACGGCCTCAACCGTACCATCAGCCACAAAGCGGAAGCTATGCTCCGGGGCTGGTGGGAGCCAAAAAGAGCCAAGGGAAAGGTGAGGCAGGGCAGAGCCTGAGTGACCTGCCTCCACTGGCAGGGTTTGTTGAAAGCCCAATCTCTGGGCCCCACTTCCTGCGATTCTGATTGAGAGGTAAGGCCCAAGAGTTTGTATTTCTGATGAGTTGCCAGGCTGCTGGACCATAGCCCACACTTTGAGAACCACTGATATAAGGCACACTCAAAAACATCCTTATCAGCCTGGGCTACACAGTGAGACCTCATCTCTATAAAAAACTTTTTAAATTACCCAGGCGTGATGGCATGCGCCTGTAGTCCCAGCACTTTGGGAGACTGAGGCAGGAGGATCACTTGAGCCCAGGAGTTCGAGACCAGCCTGGGCAATATAGCAAGACCTTATCTCTACAAAAAATTTTTTAAAAAAAGTAACTGGGTGTGGTGGCGCACTCCTGTACTCCCAGCTACTCAGGAGGCTGAGGCAGAAGGACTGCCTGAGCCCAGCCGGTTGAGGCTGTGGTAAGACATAGTCATGCCCCTGCACTCCAGCCTGGGTAACAGACTGAGACAGACCCTAACTCGAAAACACATTATTCTGGAAAACTAACTGCATCCATTTTTTCTTATTCTTCCCCATCTAAAACAGTTTTTAGCTTCAGTTATCTATGTATCAATCTACCTACCTACCTACCTACTTATTTACTTATTTAGAGTTGGGGTCTCATTCTGTTGCTCAGGCTGGAGGGCAATGGTATGATCATGGCTCACCACTGCCTCGATCTCCTGGGTTTAAGTGATCCTTCTGCCTCAGCCTCTTGAGTGGCTGGGACTACAAGCATGTGCCACTACACCCAGCTAATTGTTTTTTTAAATTTTTGTAGACGAGGTCTCACTAAGTTACCTAGGCTGGTCTCGAACTCCTGAACTCACACAATCCTCCCACCTCCCCAAGTGCTGGGATTACAGGCATGAGCCGCTGGGCCCAACTGACTATCTATTCTTTTAGAATGCTGCCTGTGACATTTCTGCAATTCCCTTATTCACAGTGATGTCTCCCTCCACCACTCCCAACAACCCAACCACATACAGTTGGCCCTTGGTATCTGCATATAAAAAACAAAATATAGCCGGGCTCTGTGGCTCAGCCTGTAATCCCGCACCTTTTGGAGGCTGAGGTGAGTGGATTGCCTGAGCCCGCAGGTTCGAGACCCACCTGGGCGAGACCTCATCTCTACAATAAATCAAAAAATCAGCCAGGCGTGGTAGCGCATGCCTGTAACTTCAGCTACTTGGAAGGCTGAGGCGGAAGGATCGCCGGAGCCCAGCCGGTCAAGGCTGCGGTGGCCGGGAGCAGCCACTGCACTCCAGTCTGGGTGACAGAGTGAGACTCCAACTCAAAAAAAAAAAAAAAAAAAAATGACAATACAACAACAACAAAAAATAATGTTTTTTAAAAAAAGAGTATAACAACCATTTACATCGTATTAGTTACAGGTAATCTAGAGATGATTTAAAGTGACAGGAGGATGTACATAGATTATATTTGAATATTATGCCATTTTACATAAGAAACTTGAGTATCCAAGAATTTTGGTATCTGTGGGGGTTCTGAAACCAATCCCTGGTGAATACTGAGGGATATGGTTGGGAAATTTGCAGAACTTGTGTTTCGCTCACATGATAGCAATGTACTGACTTGTGTGACCAGGGGCAAGTTCACTAACCATACTAACTTTTACTTTCTCACCTATACAATATAATCCTGACCTGATATACTCCTCACAGGGTTGCTGGGGAATCAGAGATCAATACGTGGAAGTATCTCTAGAAGTGCCATATTTTTTAAAATTATTATAAAGATGTGGGATACAATTCAGGGTTAGGTACACAAACACTGATTATGCAGGTACCCTTGTTGATGAGGTGTGCCCCTCCCTCCCCTAGCAGTTTCCCTCAACTGCCAATCTCACCCCCTCCCCTGACAGTTTCCCACTACTGTCAATCCCTTTCTTATAGTATAATTGTTCAAGGTCCACTTATGAGTGAGAACATATGGTACTCTGTTCTTTGTTTCTGTGATAGATCACTGAGCATGATCGACTCCAAATCCATCCAAGTTGCTGTGAAGTCCATATATTTGTCCTTCTTTATAGCTGCATAATATTCTATTGTGTATATGTACCACATTTTCTTTATCCAGTTCAGCCTCGATGGGCGACATGATTGGTTCCATGTTTTTGCTATTATGAATAGAGCTGCAACAAACATACGTGTGCGGGTATCTTTTTTGTAGAATGATTTGAGTTCTTTCGGGTATATTCCCAATAGGGGAAGTCCTGGGTCATATGGAAGGTCAATTTCTAGTTCTTTCAGAAATCGTCACACTGTCTTCCAAAGAGGTTGCACTAGTTTGCATTTCCACCCGCAGTGTAGAAGTGTTTCTTTTTCTCCACATCCTTGCCAGCATCTGTTGTTGTTTGTTTTATTCATAATAGAAGCACCATATTTAATACTCACTTTTACATCCATCCAGTTGCCTGGCCAGAGACACCCTCGTACCTGGCGGGCCCTCAAATACCAGGTGACACATCGTAACAAGGGTCTGCCATCTTCTCTCACATCTATCTCTCTGACTATCCCATCTTCTTTTAAAGTTGTATTTCTAATCTACTTTCACCGAGTTATTCTATCAAATGTATTCGATTTCTGCATACGTGATGGAGCAATAGGTTCTGAGTAAGGGACTACTCAAATCGTACATAGATTTGGAGACACATCATCTTGCCCACTCTGGTGCTCAGTTGGGTTAGTTCTATTCAGCTGACATTGGCAAACAGATACATCATGAAACGCTGAGGTGTGACTGTCCTTCCAAACCTCTAGATGCCATAAGGGGACTATCATTTTGGCATCAGACTGCCAGACTTGAGCCTTGATTCTTCTTTATCTTGTCAACTGCACATCCAGCAGCAAATGACCTCATCTCATCTGTGAAGCGGCGGTAATAGCGACCTCTCTTGAGTCACGAGGACTATATGAAAGCATCTGGCATAAAGCATGTGCTTTGCAAGATCAGAATCCACGGCATAAGGGAAAAAAATTCCCACAGACATCAATTAGAGTCATTGGTCTCTGCCATTTGATAAACAGCTTCAAGAACATAAAGTCCTTGGGGCTGGACCCACTTCCTCTCATTCCAAGTCTTTAAAACCGTTCCACTTATCCTGCCCCCAAAAGGCAGTTCCCAGGACCCCTGTAAGTGTTCC